TGGTTAATTTTTGCAGTTATAGGGATGGATGTAACATTTTCGTCTCCAAACCGAACCGTTGTCATCCCTAAGCAACCTGCACCACAACCACCATCGACCGGAATCCACCATCGTGCACCTCCATCCCTGACAAATACCAGAGATCCAGCCAACCAATGTCCTATAAGTGGTGGAAAAGAGAGCTCTAACCTCCGACCTTCCTCCATCAAGCACTAAATAGATCTGAGCCACATATTTAATGAAACCAGAAGGAAAGAGATCCCACCAGTAACAATGCCAATAAAGGCATACATATGGAAAGTGGTGGTGTTTCCACCGAAGCTAGAGCTGTACGCACGTTCCGAGAGGTTTGCGACAAGTCGCGTGAAGAAAAATGGCTTGTAGATCCAAAATTGAGTGAGACAGAGGAAGGACAGAGCAAGGTGTGATGGATAGGATGGTGAATGAATAGAAATAAGGATGTGAATGGGAAACTGAGATTGGAAGAAGAAGGGATCAGAGTTAGGAGTGTAGGTAAATTGGGTCGAAACAACGGGGACAAAACGCAGGCCAATGAGCACGCAAAAAAGAAAAAGAGAAATGGGAGACAGCCACCGACCCTGGACACAACCAGGGCCAACGACGGAAAAGGGAGGAAGTAGTTAAAAGCAAACTCTCACAAGAGGAGAAGGAACTCTCACGAAGGGAGAGAAGAAACTGTCACGAAGAGGAGAGACAAGGATCAAAATTATGCATCCAAAATTCCAAATTCTTAAAAAATTTGAGTGCCGGGTTTGTAGAAGATGTTTTTAGTCGAATTAGAAGGAATCGAACTCATAACAAATTTTAATCTTAACTTATTATCACATTCTTTCAGTACTTGGGCTAATTTGAAGGGCAGCTTTCTTAAAACATAGCAATTATGAACATGTTAACAACTAGAAAAAAAAACAAAAGAAAAAGAAAAAAGAAAACAAATGGTCCTTTAACTTAGTAGTGGAATGATGTCCAATTCTTACATGACGGCTTTTTAACATATAATTTAACAAAATTTATTAAAAAAAACAAATTGATTTTTAATTTTTTGTCCAAAGGGTAAATGAAAGTATGTAATATCTTTCAAATATAATTAAATTGCAGGGACTAACTTCTAAAATTAAAAAAAAAAATATTATAAAGTTTCAATTTTTCCCAGTCAGGTCCCTTCGGATAATCCAATTGAGGAAGAGAGAAATCACATCTCCCAAAATGATTCGCACCGCAGTTAATCTATCACTATCTGCTGCCACCGTCAATCGAACCGCCAAGCTCGGGTTCTCCATCCTTCATCGATCACCGCCGTCCAGACTTGTCCACGACGGGGATCAACGGCTTGAACGTCAACCCCGTTGCTCTTCAGATGATCAACTACGCTCTCTCTCACGCTAGGTCTCAGAAATCAGGTCCTTTTACAATCCGGTCATCTGAATTTTTGAATTTGTTCATAAAATTTTGAAATTAAATTGTTTTTAATTTGAAATTTGGATTGTGGGAAATGTAGATGAATCGTATGCGCAAGGTGTGCTTGTACTGGAACAGTGCCTTTCGACTCAGCCGAGCGAAGGGCAAGACCCTGCTGGTGATAATTCAAGGGGAATGGTGTTGTTGGCCATGTCCACTTTATCATCTGAAAGGTTTCTTTTTTATCCCTTTGGTGTTTTTCTTTTAATCTTGGACTCGCGATATTCTACTTTAAACTAATCTAAATAGCGGAGAGGGGGATTAGAACTCGGGTGCGTAGGGGAACATCCGTTCTAGCCAAGTTTGTTTGTTTTGGGTGATTAGATAACCCAATTAAGTTCTGTGTTTGATGGATTAAGAAACTTATATTACTTGAATTTCAAATTTTTAGAGGAAATTTCGGTGAAGCAATGGAGAAGCTGCAAAAGGTCCCTTTGGTGTTTTTCTTTTAATCTCGTACTTGCGATATTCTACTTTAAACTAATCTAAATAGCGGAGAGGGGGATTAGAACTTGGGTGCTTATGGGAACATCCGTTCTAGTCAAGTTTGTTTGTTTTGGGTGATTAGATAACCCAATTAAGTTCTGTGTTTGATGGATTAAGAAACTTATATTACTTGAATTTCAAATTTTTAGAGGAAATTTCGGTGAAGCAATGGAGAAGCTGCAAAAGGTTCAAGATTTAACCAACTCTTCAGTTGGTGTTAGACGTAAGATTATTATTTTACATTTTTTTTTTCATATATTTGTGAAGTTTTGCCTTAGTACAATGATCTGTTGACTAATAAACCATTCTGGGTTTTGTTAAAGTTGCCGCTTTGGACGCTCTTGTCGGACTTCACTTAGAGTTAGAGCAGGTAAGTCGACACTAAAACGATTAAAAATATGTATTTGTATTCTTTTATAGTTAAATATGTAAATGGTTCTCCCTATATAGGATGATACTTCATCAGTGCTCGCAGATAAATGCTTAGAACTGTTGGAGAACAATGAGCCTGGATCTAATGGTGGAGATTTTATAAATGCTCGTGCTAAAGCAGTAAAAGGGCTTGTTGAACTTGTCCATGGTAATACTGCATCAGGTACAGTTGCAGGCTAGCCTTTGTCTATTTATATACATTTGCTTCAACTAGTACACTGCTGAGAGTCAGGAAAGAAGGAAAATTCTGAATTTGGTTTCTCTGCAGCTGAATCGTTCTTTCAAGGACTTAAGGACAATCCGGCAATCACTGGTGAGGTTCATTTTGTAGGTGATGATTGTCATTGCCTCTAATACAAGGCATCATTCAACATGAGATGATTAATTGAAAGCTATGTAGGTAGTACTGCTTTATCCTATGGAGAATTCTTGCATGCAACGCAGAACTTTTCATTGGCAAAGGATGTCTACCAGAATGTTATTCAAGGGGTGTCCAAGAATGAAGAGTATAGTAATCCGAATGCATTAGCAGCCAGTAATATGTCTGCTGAGGAAGTTTCCCTAGCCGCCACATGTGCTTTGGGACAACTTGAGGCTCACTTGGGGTAAGTTCTTGACTACTGTTGACCCTATCATTTTTCTGTTTAGAATGGTGGAGAGATTAATCTTTGATCTTTTAGGAACTTTGCCGATGCCGAGGAGATATTGACTAAGGCTTTAACTATAACCGAGGAACGTTTTGGTGTGTTTCTTTGGCATTACTTTCGTTATGACTGGTATGGAATTTTTCAGAATTTTTATGTAATGATAAGTTGGTATCGTTTTGGTTCCTTGATTTTTGTGTAGGCTCTCATCACCCCAAGGTTGGTGTTGTTTTAACCTGCATAGCTCTCATGTTTCGACGCAAAGCAATGCTAGAGCATTCTAGTGCTCTTTTGATTCAAGAGGTTAGAACTTATACTGTATACTTATAGTTCTCAACTTAGGAATCTTGCATGTTCTTGCTCCTATATTTCTATGGCCTTATTCTTAACTCTTCCACCCCAAAAAATAAAAATGACAGGGACTTTATAGAAGGGCAATAGAGTTGCTGAAACCCCCACCATTGGACTCAGAAGGTATGCGTTAACTGTGCCATAAATTTCTCCATATGAGAGCCGGTAATAATTGCTCATTGCTCTTTATTGGGTTGTGTAGGTACAGAAGCAAAGGTAGATAGAAGTGATATAGTGGCCCTTGCAAGAGGTAATGGCTGAACATCCGAATGTTTCCTCAACATGAGCATATTAGAAATTATACCCAAGCAATGACCATTTTTAGAAAATCAGCCTTGATTTCTTACAATTGGATTTTATTCCATAATGTTATTGTTTACCAGTTTCCGGTCGATCAAATCTAAGCATTGTTTCCTGCACCTGATTGGTGTGGCTTATACTGTAAAATGAGAATACATTCAAGTAGAATAGGTCTCTGTCTGGATATTTGGAAACCTGAATGGCCTTTATCGCCGCAGATGTTTGACGTGCTGACCTTTTAATCTAAAGATTATAACCAGGTTATCTGCATTGATATGGTTAATTGATTGTGTAGGTGGGTATGCTGAAGTGCTTTGTATCCAACAGAACCGAAAGGATCAAGGTGAAAAAGCAAAGAGTTGGGCGGAGGCTGTATGGAGGAACCGCCGGCTGTCATTGGCCGAAGCACTGGACGTATCTAATACTAGTTCAGCAGTTCCAATTATCGATGCTCGAATCAGCAGGGTCCTGTAATGTCGTCAGTCCCAATACTTGCAGTCGCAGTTGGAGGTTCTCTGGTGATATACATCACAAGGAATGAGAAGACGTGCACCCATTTCGTCATATGCCCTTTGCACTCGTTAACGGTGCAGCAAATATGTGAGGATTTGAACCAAGCATATCTTTACACCATGTGACATCTTGGCATGAATGTAAACGTTATGTACCTATTTTCGGATAATGTAAGAGGTAGCTACGGTGGCCACTATTTATAGGTGAGATGAGCAATCCCTCGGAAATAAATATGCTATCAAGTGTGAGTTTCGATTGACCTAAACCAGGAGCATTACAGATTCTATGACGTGCATTGGCCGGAGATCAGGAAGAAAGCGTCGTCGGGTTGGACATAAAAAGTTGGGAATATCGGAAGTGTCCTATATTAGAAGGGACAGATCTTCACGCATTAATTGAGGTACAAAACAGAGTTGTACCCACTTAAGATGAAGCACAAACTGCAGTTTAGGCACTGTTCTAAAAATTCTCGCGTAGTGCCATCTAGGTTCCGTTTAGGTGCTGCCTAGACGTTTGAAAATTAAGAAATGGCGCTGTTGAGGCGTCCACCTAGCCCGTCCAGACCAGTTTAGGCACCCGTCTAAGTTGCAACTCACTTAGATAGAAAATAGATAACTTTCATTTTACATTTTATTTTTCTCAATAAATTGTAAAAGACTTGTTGAATACTTAAATAAATACATATTATATGCTTGTTCCTCATATTTTTATTATGTTCCAATACTTCATAACATATATGTCATTCTATTTTGTAATTTATGATAAAATTATATATATTTAAAATATAAACAGACATTTATTTACACAAAATATATTAGATTCACTTAAATCCGCCTAGGCACCCGCTTAAGCCCCGCCTAAGCACCCGCCTAAGCCCCGCCTAGGCGTTAGGCTATAGCCCTCTGCCCGATTAGCGGCCTATCATTTTTTAGAACCTTGAGTTTAGGTCTTGTTGCAAAAAAGACCGCATCTTACTTTTTAAGTAAATACCCAAATTGAACGATCACAGAGGAATATCTAGTCCTTTTCCAATCTCCACTCCAATCAACTGCAGTATTCCCTTGTTCAATATCTGAAAATCATGAAAGCAATATTAACCATATCAGCAAAAACTAATCGTTCTACAGTGCGGTTCACTGCACTTTCTCGACAGCTGTAACGACGAAGTATCAATACTAAACCATAAAAACGCAAAAGAAGAATAATTTTACCAGTTCCACTATGAAGGTTCCAATAAGTCCGATCATACATGCTCTAGAATTCCATATTTCTGCAGTCCTGGTGAATCCAGCAAAAGGGGCCTTAAACTTTGGCTCTACTTTTGGCACCACCACCTGCAAATTTTGATTCACATTAATCTACCTTCTCACAATTATACTTGAGCAAGAAGTTCTAAAATTTCATTCGGATTACAACACCTTGAGAAAAAAAATGAACAAATGGATGGCCTGTTTGGAAATCGCTTTTAAACTTTCAGATCACCAAAAACGCTTTTCACAATAATTAAACAGAAAATAAACTTCTCAACGTGCTTGTAATGAACAGGAAGTGTTTTTTAAAGAAGCATTTGCAAACCGGCCCTAAGAACGTACCCCAGCAGGAAGCTTGGCAGCTTGAACTGTGAAGGAGCTGGCACGCCTCCTGGGAGCTGGGCAGAGTTGCTGGGTTTGACGATTTGCTGTTAGAACCCTAGTGTGGAGGAGAGAAGATGAGAGTATGGTAGATGAAGTTGCCATGGTTGTTTTTTATTTAATTTTTCTTTTGGTTGTTGTGATATATGGCATGCTCTCAAGCTATGGCTTCTTTGCCATCCTTATCTACCTCACCCCACACAGAACAATTGGCAAACAACTTTCCACGTCCACATGATTTATATTTTGCGGGCGTATGAATTGACATCGATTTTTGCCAGAAGTTATTTAACATATGTATTGGGCCCTGTACTTTAATTTTTGGATAAAAATGAAAACTAATTGTAAGGTTCACTTCACGGCGAATTTTACTGATTTAAATTGTTGTTGTTTTATTTCTCCAAAATCATTGTTTTTTTTTCAGTTGTATTTCATAGGTCATTTTTGTAAAATATTAGGTAAATCGAAATATTTGATACATCTAAATGAGTTTAAAGAAATTGACGAATACTTCATTATCTAAGAAACAAGGAAATTTCAACGTGATAATTAAATAAGCAAATATTTGAGACATCTAATTGAGTTCAAAAAAATTGACGAACATCTTTTTACTGAGATGTATTATGTTGAATTAATATACCTAAATGTCTGTACTAAAACGGATATACTAAAATATACTAAATGAATTAATGCACCTAAATGAAGAACACAACATGCATCGAAATATTATATGAAACATTAGTTTACCTAAATGTCTACAAAAAAAATATATTGTGACTAATGAAATGAAAATTAGGATTAAATGTAATTAATACATTAAAATTGGGAAGAAAAAAAGAACTAAAATGACAGAGTAGTTCGCTAATGTGCTTGTATTGATGGTGGTTTTGATGGTCAGAATGGCGGCGATGACCATGAAAATGCAATGATCTTAGAGGCAAAACTGATGGTGAAGATGGTGGTGATGGCAAAACTGGTATTGGTGGGTTTGGTGACAACGATTAAAATGGTGAGCGTGGCGGCAATGCCTATAAAATGTGGTGGTCATTGAGGTTGCGGCAACGATGACTATGGTGAAGATCATAAGAATATGGTGATTGTGACGGCGGTGGTGATAGGAATGGTTAGTTGGTGGTGGAAGTGTAATAATGGTGATGGTGGTGGAAGTGTAAGAGTGGTGGAAGTGTAAGAGTGGTGGTGGTGAATCTGGCGATGTTGGCAACTTGGCACATATGGTTGAGTTTTTTACTTTTTTTTTTTTAGTTTCAAATTTATTTTCCTCATTCATACAAAAGTTAAGTTTCAAACATTTCTTCAAAATAAAAAATATATTTCGAGCTTCCCAAAGTAGCATGTGCAAATTGAGGCGATAATGTGCAAAGCAAAGAGTCGAAATTTTAAAACTCTATTAGGAAGACAAAATTTCAACTTGATGCTTAGGTTTAGAAGTTAAATAATTTAATTTCAACTTGTCACTTGATGCTCAGGTTTAGAAGTTAGCTAATTTAAGTACAATATAGTAGTATTCATCTTCATTTGTAAGTTAAAAATCTTAGGTTTTACTCTTGTCGATTATAAGTTTGATGCCAAATTATATGGCATACTCATTGTGTAACTTAGCTCAAAGAGAACTGCTAAGCGGATTCTCCCAAAAGTGAGATAAGTCTCACACTCAGCCAGCTATAATAATGCGATTCAACTTTGTCTTTGTTGAGAATCAAATATAAGACCTTTCACTTACAAATAAATAAAAATACTACTAAATCATATTACTAAGCTGTTAGTTTTTCATTCCTTTGATTGTTATTTAATAAAAAAAAACAAACGGTATTATTTAAATTAGGAAGAGGAAGTGGGCTTATCCTCACAATGAGTTAGTAATAATGTGATTTAAATTCTTCTTTTACGAGAATCAAACTTAAAACTTCTCACTTACCCTTTGGTTGTTATTAAAAATGAACAAGAATGATTTGTATGTAAGCACGCCTTTTAAGAATTCGTCTATATTTTATGCTAGCTATGTGGGACTTCATTGCCAGAAAACAAAATTGCACGGCTGAAATCGTCAAAAATAAAAATAACGAGGGACAATAGTGAAAATAGGTCAGAGTATTCAGCCTTACTTGTTTCTCCGCCTAGGTTCATCCTCCCCGAACCAATTAATTGAATTACACAACGATTCGCAACTTTTTTTTCGCCACTTCATTTCCATATATACACAAAAGCTCCTCTCTCTCTCTCGGAACTTGCTTGCCATTCTCTCACAAGGTTTTAGGGTTTGTGCATGGAAACCTCTGCTTCTTCATCAGCGACGACTGCCCAATCATCGACGATTCGTATCTGTCGCTGTAGCTTCTTCAGACGCTGCTGTCGATGCTACTGTTGCTGCTTCTGCACCTAATTTCGATAGTATCAATACCATCTCGACACTCCTTAGCAATTTTTTGTTCCAATTTTGATCCGGAAATTTGAGAATTTTGGGGATTTTTCGGTGGTCATGGGGTTAGCGGAGGCTCAGCCGGGCCTATCTCTAGGGTTTAGCTCGCATCAGAGTACGAGCTCGTCGAATTCAATCCAATCCATTCCGCTGCAATTGCTAGACCAGAAAGAAGATAAAATTAGGGTTGAGAATGGGGATGATCGTGACGAGGACGAGAAATTCAACCTCTTAGGGCACTCAATCTGTCTGAAAAGGCAGCGGGATGGGTTCACTATGAACCCGAACCCGTCAAAGTGCTTGGCGGTGGAATCGGCGGGGCTGGAGGCGAGGCGGGCCGTGGTTCGGTCTTGGGGGAATCAGCCCCTTTCGGTTGCGGACCCGGAGGTCCATGAAATTATGGAGAAGGAGAAGCATCGGCAGTTCAAAGGTATTGAATTGGTTGCTTCTGAGAATTTCGTGTGCAGAGCTGTGATGGAAGCTCTGGGCAGTCACTTGACGAATAAGTACTCGGAGGGTATGCCCGGGGCGAGATACTACACGGGCAATCAGCATATTGATCAGATTGAATTGCTTTGTCATGAACGCGCATTGGCAGCTTTTGGTCTTGATCCAGAGAAATGGGGCGTCAATGTCCAGCCTTATTCTTGTACCTCTGCGAATTTCGCAGTCTACACCGGTCTTTTGCTCCCAAATGATAGGATTATGGGATTGGATTCGCCTTCGGGAGGGCATATGAGTCATGGGTATTATATTCCTGGTGGGAAGAATGTATCGGCTGCCTCAATATTCTTTGATAGTTTCCCTTATAAGGTGAACCCACAAACAGGGTACATTGATTATGATAAGCTTGAGGAGAGGGCGGTTGATTATCGACCCAAGATACTTATTTGCGGTGGGAGTTCATACCCCCGGGAGTGGGATTATGCCAGGTTTAGGCATGTTGCGGATAAATGCGGAGCTGTGTTGATGTGTGACATGGCTCATATCAGTGGTCTTGTGGCAGCTAAGGTTTGAAATTTGACATCTGAACTCTAGCTCCGTTATTTAGTTTGTGAAGTTTCTGAATTCGTTAGCTATTACTGTTATTATTGCTTCATAGCATACTTCTCACGAACTTGTGGGCAGAAGGAGAAAGCAAATATTTTGACTGATCTACTAAGATATCATACCATGCTTTCTTATTTGGTGTTCAGTGTGGACAAATTAGCGAGTTTCTGAATTGGTTTCCTGTTTCTGTACACGTGTTCTGCTATTATTATTGTGTGGTATCAATTTCTTCACAAAGTTATAGACTGGCTGAATGGCTGTTGTAGGAGACAGCAGTTTCAGAGTCCTATCTCTTACTTGGCAATATTATGGACCATCATTTTAATGCTTATAAATTGGGCTGCAAAATAACAACGCTAGTCACTGTGGCTGAACCATTTTACATTCTTTTTGACAAAAAGAAAGAGAGATTGAATTGATTTATCAAGATAGCATATCACGATCTCTTGGTTAGAAACTGGTATAAATGGTATTTTATCATTAAGTATAACGGTTGAGCTGTTTATTCATAAACAGTAGTATAATAAGTTAATAACATGCCAGTAGTTCTTTTGGTGGCTATAGGACGGTCTAGTGGACTTTATGTTGACTTTCTAATATATTAGATAACTGCTGGTTTTCTTTATGGGTGTCAAATTTCCGTTTCAAAGGACATAAATTTCTTGAAGGTGCCTGCTCCACAGTATTTCGTGCCTTAGGTTAGAAACTGGTTTCTTGTTTTTCCTAATGCCGTGTGTTCCATGCTTCTTCTGTCTCATTTTGTGTACTCTTGTGCATTCTTCAATGTGATGTTTTTTATGCATGGCTACTGTTCTTCATTTGAGAAAATGTCCGAATTATATCATGTTATGAAATGCCATGAATGCTCTAGTGCTGTGATCTGATTTATTGAGAAAGTATAATACAACAACAACAACAACAAAGCCTTTTCCCACTAAGTGGGGTCGGCTATATGAATCCTAGAACGCCATTGCGCTCGGTTTTGTGTCATGTCCTCCGTTAGATCCAAGTACTCTAAGTCTTTTCTTAGGGTCTCTTCCAAAGTTTTCCTAGGTCTTCCTCTACCCCTTCGGCCCCGAACCTCTGTTCCGTAGTCACATCTTCGAACCGGAGCGTCAGTAGGCCTTCTTTGCACATGTCCAAACCACCGTAACCGATTTTCTCTCATCTTTCCTTCAACTTCGGCTACTCCTACTTTACCTCGGATATCCTCATTCACAATCTTTTCCTTTCTCGTGTGCCCACACATCCCACGAAGCATCCCACGAAGCATCCTTATCTCCGCTACACCCATTTTGTGTACGTGTTGATGCTTCACCGCCCAACATTCTGTGCCATACAACATCGCTGGCCTTATTGCCGTCCTATAAAATTTTCCCTTGAGCTTCAGTGACATACGACGATCACACAACACGCCGGATGCACTCTTACACTTCAGCCATCCAGCTTGTATTCTATTGTTGAGATCTCCATCTACTTCTCCGTTCTCTTGCAAGATAGATCCTAGGTAGCGAAAACTGTCGCTTTTTGTGATCGTCGCTAGATTGCTCCGGTCATTAGTGTGGATAAGTATATAAATGGATAGAGATAGTAAAGCAAACACCAGATGTACGTGGTTCACCCATATTGGCTACGTCCACGAAATAGAGGAGTTCTCATTAATTGTGAAGGGTTTACACAAGTACATAGGTTCAAGCGACGATCTCGTAATCACGCTTGACCAAGCCTGATACCACCCCTGAATGATTTAGTACAAATGACATTAGGAAATATTGTGGGAGAATGATCTCGTAATCACGAAACTTCTAAGTTCCGGAGTGTGGTATCGTCTTGACTTGCCTTATCTGTCTCGTAGGTAGATGTGGCATCTTCTCTGGAAGTACTCTTCCTCCATCCAGGGGTGGTATCTTTAACTGGTGGAGATGCACAAGGTAATGTATCAATTTCACTTGAAGCTTACTTGTAGTTTCAGGCTTGGTCAAGCGCGATACAAACCATGTAGTAGGAGTCATCCAAGTCGCCGAGCTAGGGGATCTGCTGAAAGAGGTGACAGACAAGGTAAGCAATCAGAGCTACAAGCAATCAGTCCCAGATCAGAACTTTGATTTCGAGTTCCGGCTGATTGTTCACATTCTCCCTATCTTGCAGGCAGCATGAAGGATAAAGAGAAGAAAAATGAGAAGAGATGATATGGGATACTTTTGCTTTTGAAGAAGTAAATTTCCACAGGCTTATTCTTGAACTGGGCTGGAGGGTTTTCTGGTTTCCTCCAGAGTATAAGGCCGACTGAAGAATTTGAGGGTCAAAACAAGTCCATCAAATCTATAGTACGTTCGACCCTGCTGATATGGGATACTTTTGCTTTTTTGACAGAGTAGTGGATGTATCGGCACGTGTGCTGTTACGCTTGTCTCCACATGCTTCCTTGTATCCTTCTCACTTGCCCTATATGTTCCTCAGGCAGATGCGGTATCTTCCCTGGAAGCATAAGATGTTGAAGATGAGTACTCGAGAGCAATGCAAGGTAAGTAATCAAGTAAGGGATTTCAGGCAGTCAGTTCCTGACTGGAAGCTTGATTCCAAGTGCTGACTGATTGCTCTCTTTCTCCTTGTCTTGCAGGTAAGAACAAGGCCAAAGGAAAAGACAGGGAAAAAACATGATATGGGATACTCTTGCTTTTAACCCTGATGATATGAGATATTCTTGCTCTAGGTATAGCTTGTTTGCAGAGGTATTATCGGGGGGAAAGAAAGCTGAATATATTTCGAAAGGCTTCTTTGGGAGTGCCCTCTCAGATATGAGGAAGGGTTGAGCATTTTTGCAGGTCTGCCTGTCCGTTGGGGATGGAGGTCAACATATATAGGAGTCTCCCTAACAACAAGTAGTAATGCTATTCCTTTACCCTGCTTGGTCATAACACGGTAGTGGGAGCTGCCAGCTTCACATGTTTTAACTTTGTCAGAGCACTTTGAAAAAGTGGTCTGTGGTATCTGGAAAGCTGATGTTGCGTGTAAAGATTACAGACAAGCTTTATCCAAGGAGATCCGGCTCTTGAAGTTGGGAAAGTGGTGCCTCTTCGGTTTTCGAACAAGCAATCCTGTCGGAGATCTAGCTCTCGAGATTCGAAGAACGATGCCTTTTCGATTTTTGAGAAAGCAATCCTGCTAGGGGTCTGGCTCTCGAGATTCGGAGAGCGGTGTCTCTTCGATTTTTGAGAAAGTAATCATGTTGGGAGTCTGGCTCTCGAGATTCGGAGGGCGGTGCCTCTTCGATTTTGGAGCAAGCAATCTTGTTGGGAGTGTTTTCTCGAATGTGAGAAAAGGTTGGGCATGTTTGCTAGTCTATCTTGCCACGAAGCACAGAGGTTGACACACAGGGACTTTCCAATTATCCAGCAGTGGTACTGTTCCTTTACCCTTGTGGGTAATAATATGGTAGCTAGACCTTCAAAATTTATGTGTCTAAACTTTGTTAGTGCTGTTTCTTTGCTATTCTTTTACCCTTCTTGGTCAGAGCGGTGTAGTGGGAGTTGCAAGCTTCACGTGTCTCAAACTTTGTCAGAGAACTTTGGCAAAGTTATCTGTGGTACCCATGAGCTAATGTTGCGTGTGGGAAGTGGGTGATTGAACAGTAAGATTCACGTGCTTTCTACTTCACCAGAAATCTTCGACAGAATGCCCGTAATTTCCGCAAAGCTGACAGGTGCTGACAAGGCTGGAAAAGTAGGTGCCTCTTCGATTTCTGAGATCGGCCCTCGTGGTCTCTGAGCAGCCCAGCTTTTGAGAAAGCAAGCGCCTCTTCGATTTCTGAGATCGGCCTTCGTGGTCTTTGAGCAGCCCAACTTTTGAGAAAGCGAACGTCTCGTGGTCTCTGAGCAGCCCAGCTTTTGAGAAAGCAAACGCCTCTTCGATTTCTGAAGCTCCGTCGAGTGCAGATTTTTATAGAGGCTGGCATTAAGTTCCAAAGCACACTTGAATCTCCACCAGTAGAAGCTCCATTCTTGCACTTCTAAGATCTTGATTTGTCCGACCTCTTCTCTCTTCAACACCTTTGAAAATGTCTGGCCCCTCCGACCGTCGTTTTGACTTGAACCTTGTTGAAGAGGCAGCCACGCCTTCTCCAGACAACATATGGCGCCCATCCTTCGTCTCCCCTACTGGTCCTCTTACCGTTGGGGATTCCGTGATGAAGAATGATATGACCGCTGCGGTAGGTGGCCAGGAACCTTCTCACTCCCAAAGATAACAGACTACTTTCCAAACGGTCTGATGAGTTGGCTGTTAAGGATTCTCTGGCTCTCAGTGTTCAGTGTGCAGGTTCTGTGTCTAATATGGCCCAACGCCTATTTGCTCGAACCCGCCAAGTTGAATCATTGGCGGCTGAAGTGATGAGTCTCAAACAGGAGATTAGAGGGCTCAAGCATGAGAATAAACAGTTGCACCGGCTCGCACATGACTATGCTACAAACATGAAGAGGAAGCTTGACCAGATGAAGGAATCTGATGGTCAGGTTTTACTTGATCATCAGAGATTTGTGGGTTTGTTCCAAAGGCATTTATTGCCTTCGTCTTCTGGGGCTGTACCGCGTAATGAAGCTCCAAATGATCAACCTCTGCTGCCTCCTCCTTCTAGGGTTGCTGTCCAGTACTGAGGCTCCAAATGATCCCCCTCCCGGTGCCTTCTCTTTCTGGGGCTCTACCGACTGCTGAGACTTCTCCTAAGCAACCTTTGTGAAGGCTCCCTCTTGTTTGTTTATTTTGACTCATGTATATGTACATATTTGTGACTTATCGGGGATATCAATAAATAAGCTTTCCTTCATTTCAACGTATTGTGTTAAATACACCAAAGCCTTCTTCGCTAAGTTCTCTTGAATTTTCTTTTGTTGAAGCTTGTATGTTGAAGCTTTGTGAGTGGAGCATGTAGGTTGAGGTAGTGTTCCCTTAATTTCCCGAGTGAGGAAAACTTCTCGGTTGGAGACTTGGAAAATCCAAGTCACTGAGTGGGATCGGCTATATGAATCTTTGAACGCCATTGTGCTTGGTCCTGTGTCATGTCCTCCGTTAGATCCAAGTACTCTAAGTCTTTTCTTAGAGTCTCTTCCAAAGTTTTCCTAGGTCTTCCTCTACCCCTTCGGCCCTGAACCTCTATCCCATAGTCGCATCTTCTAATCGGAGCGTCAGTAGGCCTTCTTTGCACATGTCCAAACCACCGTAACCGATTTTCTCTCATCTTTCCTTCAATTTCGGCTACTCCTACTTTACCCCGGATATCCTCATTCCTAATCTTATCCTTTCTTGTGTGCCCACACATCCAACGAAGCATCCTCATCTCCGCTACACCTATTTTGTGTACGTGTTGATGCTTCACCGCCCAACATTCTGTGCCATACAGCATCGCCGGCCTTATTGCCGTCCTATAAAAATTTTCCCTTGAGCTTCAGTGGCATACGGCGGTCACACAACACGCCGGATGCACTCTTCCACTTCATCCATCCAGCTTGTATTCTATGGTTGAGATCTCCATCTAATTCTCCGTTCTTTTGCAAGATAGATCCTAGGTAACGAAAACGATCGCTCTTTGGTATTTCTTGATCTCCGATCCTCACCCCTAACTCGTTTTGGCCTCCATTTGCACTGAACTTGCACTCCATATATTCTGTCTTTGATTGGCTTAGGCGAAGACCTTTAGATTCCAACACTTCTCTCCAAAGGTTAAGCTTTGCATTTACCCCTTCCTGAGTTTCATCTATCAACACTATATCGTCTGCGAAAAGCATACACCAAGGAATATCATCTTGAATATGTCCTGTTAACTCATCCATTACCAACGCAAAAAGGTAAGGACTTAAGGATGAGCCTTGATGTAATCCTACAGTTATGGGAAAGCTTTCGGTTTGTCCTTCATGAGTTCTTACGGCAATCTTTGCTCCTTCATACATATCCTTTATAGCTTGGATATATGTTACTCGTACTCCTTTCTTCTCTAAAATCCTCCAAAGAATGTCTCTTGGGACCCTATCATACGCTTTTTCCAAATCTATAAAGACCATGTGTAAATCCTTTTTCCCATCTCTATATCTTTCCATCAATCTTCGTAAGAGATAGATTGCCTCCATGGTTGAGCGCCCTGGCATGAACCCGAATTGGTTGTCCGAAACCCGTGTCTCTTGCCTCAATCTATGCTCAATGACTCTCTCCCAGAGCTTCATTGTATGACTCATTAGCTTAATACCCCTATAGTTCATGCAATTTTGTACGTCGCCCTTATTCTTGTAGATAGGCACCAAAGTGCTCGTTCGCCACTCATTTGGCATCTTCTTCGTTTTCAAAATCCTATTGAAAAGGTCAGTGAGCCATGTTATACCTGTCCCTCCCAAAACTTTCCACACTTCGATTGGTATATCGTCTGGGCCTACTGCTTTTCTATGCTTCATCTTCTTCAAAGCTACAACCACTTCTTCCTTCCGGATTCGACGATAAAAAGAGTAGTTTCTACACTCTTCTGAGTTACTCAACTCCCCTAAAGAAGCACTCCTTTCATGTCCTTCATTGAAAAGATTATGAAAATAACCTCTCCATCTATCTTTAACCGCATTCTCTGTAGCAAAAACCTTTCCATCCTCATCCTTGATGCACCTCACTTGGTTTAGGTCCCTCGTCTTCTTTTCCCTTGCTCTAGCTAGTTTATAGATATCCAACTCTCCTTCTTTGGTATCTAGTCGCTTATACATATCGTCATAAGCCGCTAACTTAGCTTCTCTCACAGCTTTCTTCGCCTCTTGCTTCGCTTTTCTATACCTTTCACCATTTTCATCGGTCATATCCTTGTATAAGGCTTTACAACATTCCTTCTTAGCCTTCACCTTTGTTTGTACCTCCTCATTCCACCACCAAGATTCCTTTTGGTGTAGGGCAAAGCCCTTGGACTCTCCTAACACCTCTTTTGCTACTTTTCGGATACAATTAGCCATGGAATCCCACATTTGGCTAGCTTCCCCCTCTCTATCCCACACACACTGGGTGATTACTTTATCTTTGAAAATGACTTGTTTTTCTTCTTTTAGATTCCACCATCTAGTCCTTGGGCACTTCCAAGTCTTGTTCTTTTTTCTCACTCTTTTGATATGTACATCCATCACCAACAAGCGATGTTGATTAGCCACGCTCTCTCCTGGTATAACTTTGCAATCCTTACAAGTTATACGATCCCCTTTCCTCATTAGAAGAAAATCTATTTGTGTTTTTGACGACCCACTCTTGTAGGTGATCACATGTTCTTCTCTCTTCTAGAAGATGTTGGCTAAGAAGAGATCATATGCCATTGCAAAATCCAAGATAGCTTCCCCATCCTCGTTTCTCTCCCCAAAACCATGGCCACCATGAAAACCTCCATAGTTGCCTGTCTCCCTGCCCACGTGTCCATTTAAATCTCCTCCTATAAATAACTTCTCCGTCTGAGCAATTCCTTGCACCAAGTCTCCAAGGTCTTCCCAAAATTTCTCCTTCGAACTCATATCCAACCCTACTTGAGGTGCGTACGCACTAATCACATTGATAAGTTCTTGTCCTATTACAATCTTGATTGCCATGATTCTATCTCCTACCCTCTTGACATCTACAACATATTGTGTCAAGGTCTTGTCCACGATGATGCCAACACCGTTTCTCGTTCTATTTGTGCCCGAGTACCAAAGTTTAACCCTGAGTTTTCTAGATCCTTTGCCTTAAGACCAACCCACTTAGTTTCTTGTAGGCACATAATATTTATCCTTCTCCTCACCATAACATCCACTACTTCCATAGATTTTCCCGTTAAGGTTCCTATATTCCACGTTCCTAAACGCATTCTACTCTCCTGAACTCTACCCTTCTGTCCTAGCTTCTTCACCCTCCCTCGTCTAATGGAATCAAAGTACTTCTTTTGTGTGTCCCGTGTAAAGTTGATAGGTGCATATGCTCCCAAACAACTTTGAGTGGAGTCGTTCGAAAAGAAGTTTCTATGGCCCCCTTGCTCATTTAACACTGCATCCGGGTGCCTATGGAGATACAGCGACCCTTGCTCACTTATCACTGTGCTCGGGCCACACAGCGCGCCACTTACGGGTGACGCCCTAGCTTTAGCGCGATTTCGTTCTGAATTCATTTTCATAAGGATTCGACGTAACTGTGGAGTGCCGGCTGTCGACTACCTGACGCCCTCCCCCTCCTCCTTTACCCGGACTTGGGACCGGCCATGTAAGATAAACTTACATAGGCGGAGTTATTGAGAAAGTATAATACTTAGTAAATTTTTTAATCTCTTAGGATAGATGAGGACGCCGTTAATGCTGTTTGTGAAACTCATTTCTTTGTTTTGTGTTAGCCTTCCAATATTGATTTGTAATACTTGTTTAGAATGACTTACCTTCCACTGTTCACCTCTTGTATGGATTATCTGTATGTAACTTAAGGTGGGATTTAGCTATTTAAAAGGCCATACTCATATTGGTTGAAAAAGGAGTATCTGCTATCTGTTTCTTACATACCCGCTACTGTTCATTACAGGAATGTGCAAGCCCATTTGATTATTGTGATATTGTTACGTCAACAACGCACAAAAGTCTCCGGGGTCCTAGGGGAGGTATTATTTTTTACAGGAAAGGCACAAAATTAAGGAAGCAAGGTGTACATCATACTAATGATGGTGATAACAATTATGATTTCGAGGAAAAGATAAACTTCGCTGTTTTCCCCTCCCTACAAGGAGGTCCTCACAACAATTATATTGCTGCTCTTGCCATTGCCTTAAAACAAGTAGCCACTCCAGAGTATAAAGCATACATGAACCAGGTGAAGAGAAATGCACAAGCCTTGGCTAATGCTTTGTTAAGAAGAAAATGCAGATTGGTTACTGGGGGTACTGATAATCACTTGCTGCTTTGGGATCTGACTAGTCTTGGTATAACAGGTATTATAGTGTATTATAGTGTTAGCCAAGGCCAATTTGCAACTAGGATTATGAATATTTCCATGTAGAGAACATCTACCGTTTACTTTCCAGTTTTGTTATCATTTTAATCCGATTGGTATTTTATAGTTAGGTCAAAATTCAAGTTTATATACCTGTTCTTGTTGGCATTACATGATTGCTTTTATAAGCAAAAACATGCCCGAGGCCGGGCGCTTCTCTCTTAAGGAAGAGGCAGCGTGGTATTCCACGGGAGAGGTTTATTCGTGGCGCACGTTAGTGCGTTGGGCTCACATTAACAACCCGACTTCTTTCCTTAGAAGGGGGTTGCGTTGGGGGCTCCAAGGCCGCTCTGCTGCTCAAGTTTTTTGCAGCATGTGTGGTCTGTATGCCCTACATCTTTTCCCTTTTTATTACATGATTGCTTTTGTAAGCCAAACAGAAGGTGAGTTGCCTTAAGAACATAAATATGTTTTCTGCGAACATTAATAGTGAACTTCTAGTCATTGATTATTTTAACATAGAGAGAGGAAATGTCGGCAGAGCTGCTAGTTAGGGGAAGCTACATTTGATCGATCACCATTTTGAATGTTTATGCTTTGGGATCCTCTAAATATTTTAAATTTTTGTGGGTACATGATACTCCGCCCACTTTCTGTACTAGTCTATTTATTAGCTAGTTTATTCCCCAATGTGGATGATAGTGGGAGGTCTTATCTTTTCAATAGTTTAAGAAACATCTTTCATATAATCTTCTTTCTAACTGTTCCAATTTTAAAGCATTTGCATACATTTTCGCATCCAATCTCCCCTCTTTTTCTTTCTCTCACTTTGCTTAAACTTGCAATGTTATGTAATTTTAAGGTCTAATTTTGTACTTTGCTATCTTACCCCATTCCTATTTACAATTTAAATGATATAGGTAAGAACTTCGAAAAGGTCTGCGAGTTGTGTGACATCACTCTCAATAAAACTGCTATATTTGGTGATAATGGTGCTCCTTCTCGTCGGGGAGTGAGAATTGGTAAGTAGCCTTAGTCATTTGAATTTGATCTATTTCTGAAAGCTGCAGACTATGCCATTTGGCCGCTTGAGTTTTTATCATGTGGACATCAGGATCAAACCATCTCCCCTTTTTTTTAAAGTCGGTGTATCCTTGTCTGTTTTTCCTCCTGTCTCTTTGTGATGTGATGAATTTAATTACTCAGCCTGCTTGCCTCGCAGCTTGTTTTTCTTTTTATTATTCTGTGGCGTAATTTCGTTTTGTCAGGTACTCCTGCTATGACTACAAGAGGTTGTGTGGAGGCCGATTTTGAAACAATTGCAGACTTTCTTCTAAGGGCTGCGAAGATCACTGCTTCTGTCCAGCTGGAACGTGGAACATATCATAAAGATTTTATCCAAGGTCTCCAGAACAACAAAGATATTGTTGAGCTCAGAAATCGGGTCGAAACATTTGCGTACCAGTTTGAAATGCCAGGATATGATTGATGTCCAAACGCGTGACAGCTTTCATGCATGTGCAGCTTGTTATCTTTGCTTCTGTGGCTTACACCTTGCTTTCGTGGTAACCTTACACGATCCTTACTTTTTGACCGCCTGTTCTGTTTTCCGATAATCTCGTGTAAATTACAGAGGAATACCAGAAAATATGTTGCCGATTTTCGTAAGTAGACCTTGTTCCCACATCCCTGCATGGCAATTTCTTTGTGATTTTTTGTATAAATTATAGCAAAGCAATTGTTAATAATCTGCATCTATGTGAAGGTGTAACTGAAAAGTATCGAGTTTGGTCTCTTTTGTTAGCTATTGTTCTTCGTCTAGTTGGCAATGCCGAACCTCTATGGGTCCGTTCAGTTTTGTTCCCGAGCAGCGTATTACGCGAACCGGGGGCCTCTGGTTAGTGCAGCAGTTCATGTAACAAAAGTTTGTGTGCAACATTTTTCTCTTTTATGTACACTACATTTGTCCGATCAGAGTCGACATTCTGCTGATTTTTTTTATTTTCTTTTGGTCATGCCTTCTGTGAAAGAAGCTGAAACCTCAAGCTGCACTTTTCTTTCAAGTGACAACCTTTTTTCTCCTGCCAAATGATCATAATAATTGAATATGTGGGTTTAGGCTGATTGAGGAGGACAGTATGGCCGTTTCTTTGCAGTCGAAGTTATAATCTCTCTCACTTGTCATCTCAGAAAAGAAAAGGGTTCATTGTAATGGATGGTGTGTTTTTTTTGTTGATTTTAGTTGTTTGCTTTCACCAATATTTAATTGATTTTGCTTGCCATGGACTCCTTCAAGGGAGGCAAGACATGAATTTCTTTTCCGGCAAGGGACAAAAAGCATGGGATGCGGTTGAGAAACAAAGAAAGTGACCCATAATTTTCTGCCCTTTATTTCTAAGGAAAACTAATGAAAAGGGCTTGAAAACTTTGAGTTTTAATGATAAGGACAAAATAAAGAGTAAAGTGAATAGTACCAGGATTGATTTTTTAGTGTAAAAATGTGGTTTTTCGTTAAAGTGAACAGTACCGGGTGCTTTTCGTTAAAGTTCCCTTATTTCTAATGTTTCTCCAAATTCCCAAAGGTGGAACAAAGAAAATCATCTGTGTGAAAAAAAATCCTATATGCTGGTTGTATACAACTATGTCTTTATCTTCACTTATTACGAGATTAACTGGTGAAGTGTTTCTCGTGAGATAGTTGTGACATCAAAAATCTAAATCTAAAGACTCAAAGAATTGCATGAAAATACGTGATTGGTTTTACACAATTATATATTTGTTGACTAATTCATGAAATGTAAGTTTTTCTCGTCAGGTGATGGGGTAGAGAGGTTAAGAAGAGACGTGGAGGAAGAAGATGATGTGGTGAGAAGGTTGCATCATGAACACCATTGCTTTCGAAGTGAACCGAGTCAGACAAAAGCTTGTAAGGATCAAAACAAGGTGCTTTTTTTGACATTAAAGCAACCAAAGAATCAGACTACAGTCCCAAGCCGCCCCTTTTCATCAGTCTTTCACAACTAACCACCAACTCTTTCGCAGTTCATGAAAGCGATTTTTCTTGAGCATCTACAGGCACTGAGTGCTGATATTTTTTAACTATTAGATAAGTTCAACTGTCACCGATCATTAACTTTAAGTTGCTAGATTAACTCCAACAAATAATTGTGAAAGGACACTCAGTGTTTGTAGGTACCGAAAAAAGTGAATTGCCAAACAAGACCCCAACAAGGGAGATATTTTCAAAAGAATTTTTTTTTAAATTTTTTAATTTTATTTTCAGAACAGACCAAAAGAATCATATGCTCTGATAAATTAATGGGATATTATCAAATAAAAAGTTTGAATAAATGGGATTTTGATTGTGCCCTTAAGTCTAAAAGATAATATGACAGAAGCTTCCATTCCTTCTTTTTCCTCTATTGTTTTGTTCACCCAATCCGTTTTTACTTTCACTTTTTGTTCTTTAAAATTAATTCTTTGCAACTGCATGAAATATAGTCCAAAATTGGATTTAGCACTAGGTCTTCTCAACCCATAATTGCATTTCTTGTTTTCCTTTTAAAAAAAAAAAAGTATTAAATGATAGCTTTGTAATGACAGTTCCCTCTCAGGAGATCAGAAAAACTCATAGAGGCATTTCAGTCTCTCCTTAGCTACCATCGTGTAATTCACACACGTTAGTGATCGAATCCAGAACGTGCCCCTATTTTAATTCACATTATAGAAAAAAGGGAGGTAGGAGTTTGAAATTGAAATGCAGTAAGTTGAAGAAAAATTCTTACTAGGCAGTCCCAACACTTGCCAAAAATAAAATATAATAATAATTAATAATGAATTCTATTTTACAAGACGGAGTTGAAAGTTTCTCCAAATACTTTAAATCTAGTGAAAGAGGATGACGTTCAAGTACACATTGACCTAATGACTTGACGCACATCCGGAACTGGTAACTTTTTATCCTCTTTCGATATGAGAATATTCGATCATAATCTAGTTTAAATTACAGAACGAGCCATTCGAACTTGAGTTTTAAGAAAAAGCACACCATTACACAACAAACTTAGCAACCTCTATATCAACTGCTAAAAACATGAGGCGCCAAAAACAAGAGGACATATACTACGTAAATTTTTTTTTTTTTTTTTTTTTTTCCAACTACTCTTTTTTTTGTGTTTTTACCTGTGACTGCAAAAGTCCAACAGCTTCTTCCTCCCCTCAACAATTTCATCAAACAAATCATCAAGTTGGCTCACAATATTCTCAGAACCAGAAGTCAACCCCCCAAAACACTCTCTCAGATGCTCCACTCTCTCTCTAATCCCACTCTCCCAATCCATCACTCCTCCCTGTGAGCCCCTCCTCTCCTCCAGTTCACCTCTCAGCTCCTCCATCGCTGCCTTCGACCTCCTGAACTCCCACACCAGAATCCCAGGCCTCTCGCTCATCTGCCCGATCTCCGCCGCCACCCTCTGCTGCAGTCTGGCCGTCGATATCATGAACGGTGATCCGAAGATCATGCAGCCCTCGTAGTCGTCGTCTCCTTCCCTGCAAAAGTTGAGTCCTCCGGCGAGCAGAAGACCAGTCCGTACAGCAAGATCATCAGAAGCAGAGAGCTCACGTTTCTCATTGCGTACAGGACTCCCCTGAACCCGCTGAACCCATTAAGCTTCGATTCGACGGCGACCCTTTCGTCGAATTTCAGTGAGAGTGGTTGGATTCTCGTTCCCATCAGCGCTCTGTTCTCTTCCTCCAATCCAAACGCTTCCCGCCGCCACCGAGAAATCGCGCGCACCACCTGCTGACATGACAGAACGCATGAGTCTTTAAAAAATGAATATGAATTTTGAGAGAAGTTTGAAGATGGTGATCAGAATTGAAGACCCACCTGGCGGGAGAGCTGAGGAGTGAGATGGTGAGAGTCGAGGAGGGTGGAGGTGATGGCGTGGCCGGAGGTGTAGAAATTCTCCATGGCAGAGACGGCGGATTTGAGGACATGGCAGGCTTCCCAAAGCTTGGAGCTTTCGTCCATGTACTCGTCAAGCCACTTGTCCCCAACAGGCAGATGGAGCTTTTGGACAAGAAGGTTCAGCTGGGAGTGGAAAGATCGAAGAAGGGTAAGAACCCTTTGAAGGAATTGGATTGACATGAAGTTGCTGGAAAGATAGACCCTTTCGAGATCGTCCACCCCACGAGCCAGGAAGGAAAAGAAGCCATTGACAGAGTTGGTGGAGGAAGGATCATCCATGTTTCAGCTTGTTTTCCTTTTCTTTTGGTGCGTGGAGTAAAAAGAGAGGGTGGTATTTGAATTTAAATGATGGGAGGATTGGAAGGAGTTGAGGGATGGAAAGGAAAGGGAATGGAATGGGATTGTGGGAAGGGGGGAGAATCTTACAAGGAGAGGAAGCTCAGGTTTCCAAGGTTGAAAACGATTGTTGTTGGGAGCAATGATGGGTGTTTCCTATGGAGGGGAAAAGGATGCCGTTTTCATCGTTTTAATGGGATGATTGTTTCTAGGGCTGGAAAAAACATTCCAAAATTTCCCGATCCCGGCCGAAAAATTCCCAACCGACAAATCCCGAACAGATCGGTTACCCATATCGAACCAGAACCGAAAGTTTTGGTACGGATTTTGGTATTCAACCTGCCTTCGTTCGAAAATTCCGAACCGAACCGAACAATTTTTATATATAATTAAATATATAATTTTAATTATTATAAGCCGTTGAATTTGGTTGAGATTAATCTCAACCTTTCATTTATAATTAACCCTAACCTTTCTTGACCTCTCTCTCGACTGCTCTCTCTCTCTTCTCTCGACTCCTCCCTAATTCTTCGTCTGTCAGTCCTCGTTTCTAATTCTCCTTCGCTCGATCTCAAGCCCAGCCACCAGCACCACTCTGTCGGTGGATCTCGAACCTAGCCACCACCACTCCGTTAGTGGATCTCGAACCTAGCCACCACCACCTCCGCCGAGTCTCGACTCCGACCACCTCACCATACCCTCTCATCTCGCTCCAGCCACCATACAAACAACAAGCAAATCAGGTTCAGCGTATCCAGCAAGCAGGAAGGAGTAGGAAAGAGATGGCCCTAATCACAAACTCATTAGTATCAGAATCGAAAGCAGCACCGGATTGGTTCGAACTAATTTTCTCTGGTTGATGCAATTTTGTTTGAATTAAAATTAGATTTCTAGGGTGTGTGAAAATTGGGTTCTAGGATTTGAATTTGGATTTGTATTTTGGTTCAGTTTCGATTTTGAGATCCCGTCCAGAAATGAATTGGTTTGAGATTTGGGTTATCAGTTTCGGTACGGGATCCTAACCCGAACCAAGGGATGTGTGAAAAATTAAAACTTAGCCTCAAAATACCCAAAAAAAGAAAATATTGTGCATTTGTGAATTGAGAGAGACAGAGAGACGTACAACAAAAGGAGCAAAGAAATTTTCATGAGCTCAATTGCTCATTATCATCAATTTTTGACGCATGAGAGGAGGCAATATGAGAAATTTTTTGGTAGGACACTCTAATTACGTCATATCGTACCCTCTAATGACGTCATATGTATGTTAGCTACGACAAATAAGTAAGATCCATTTTAGGATTCTTTCTCCTTCTAATCTTTTTCTCATTTTATTCATTTTTGTTTGAACGGTTATGGTTTAGTTACGTCAACCTCTTATACTAATTTTTTTATAGGGACAATAAAACAAAAAACAATATGAGAGGAGGGAAGAGAAAATAATGAGAATAGGAGGAGCGAGAATCTTATTCCCCATTCTATTTGGATTCTACTCAGCCCCATCTTGGCCCCAAATGTTGTTGTACAAAGATTCCGGATCCTCTTTGTGAGGGTTTTAAGAATCTGTGAATCGTGTCATTTCATCGTACATTGTACAGTAAGAAAATATTTTAAATATTTTTATTTAAAAATAAATATAAACAGTACTTGACAAAAATTGACCGCATGATGTACGATGAACGGATATGATTCATGGAGCCCCAGAATTTTCATAAAAAAGATCCGAAGAGGATCGTGTTGGTTGTACAAAATAAAGTGTGTGAAGTGGAGTTGCAGCAGGTTCAGTGGTACCATGGTGCCGATTCTTATAATGAAATGCTGCGTGAAGAGAAAATTATGGGATACTTTAGATTCGGTCTCTAATTATTAACATTCTTTGAATAAAACCTTAATGATATTCAAGGTTTGATCAAAGTCCCTTGACTTTGTACACCTCATTATATTACTATTAATATGTATAGTTTTATAGTTTTGACATTAATTGTTTGATATTTTATGAGATTTATAATCCTATAAATTTAAAATCCCTCATTATAATACTATTAGAAACGGTTACAATAAAAGAATTCAAACATTTTGATTGAATAAATGGATAGAAACTATGTAAAAATAAGAAATAATAAATGGCAAAAGAATGTATCCATAGTGTTAAAAAAATTGGTACATTTTACAAAAAAATTGGTACATTTCACATATGTATATTAATAAAGAAGAATGGGTACATTATAAATAAATTAGGGTACATATAAAAGATTAAAAAATTATGAGTACAAATGAATTTTTAAAAAATATAGGCCCTAAAAGAAATAAATACATGGGTACAAAATAAAACTAAAAAGAAAATACTACAAATTTAAAAAAAAAAATGTTGCAAATTAAAAGTGGGTACAAACTAAAAATATAAATATATGATACAAAGTTTAGGCATAAAACATAAATATATCATATGTAATTTTTCTATCATTGATTAAATATACAATGTCACGTGACGGTATACACATGGGTACAAACACAAATAAAACTTTAAAAAATATGGGCACAAAAAGAAACTAATATATGGGTACAAATTAAAAATGAAAAGAAAATTGGTACAAATTAAAAAATATTTGCAAATTAAAAATAGGTACAAACTAAAAATAAAAATATATGATAAAAAATTTAGCTATAAATATAAATATACTAATTGTAACATTTTTAACACTAAAGGAATATATTTAAAAATAAAAATATTTTATTATTCAAATAATTAATGATGTTATTAATACTCAAGGACCTTGATAAAAAATTAAAAATAAATAAGATTTTAATTAATGGAGTAACAAAAAGAATGATGTGAACCTAATTTCTCCGAAAATTATACATGATAATGTATTATTAGTTCAGAACGTTACGTAACAATAAATTTGTTTCGTGTAAGTTCTTTAAATAATCTTTTGATTTTTTTGAACAATCTTTTGATTTGAGTGTTGTTTGGCTTCTTCCTTCCTCCTTTTCATCCTCGAGCTACTGACTTGGCTCCTTAATCCACCTCTAATCTATTGAAATTTGTGGGGTTTGTTTTTCCTAGATATTTCCTGTTTTGTTGATTTTTTTGAAAGAGGAGGGGGACTTGGAAATGGAATGATGAGATTCCTTGCATATGTAATGTGTCTTGTAATTTGTAAACCCTTCTGACCATGCATAAATAATTAGTCTTTTTAGGCCACATTTTCCTTTAGTGTATAGTTTTTGCTAATCATTCTTTTCCCTTGGGGACAAAAATTGATGATGCTTCTTCATAAATCATGCCCCTTTAATTTAATCCCAGCCGTTTATTTGGTACTCCTTAAGGACCCATCCAACGGCTAAGAAAGTAAATCTTAGTTTGAAATGATCAAACTGCATGGGTGTTGCAATCCACTCGAGAGATTGTTTAGTGTATTTGAAATATAAATCGGTACATTACGTGTTTGATCATCTTTATCATTTACATTTATAATAATATATAGTGTTTTTTTTGAGGTCCGAGTACACATAAAAATTTCTTCATCCAACCTACAGCTATAAATATGTTTAAAGTTGTGAGGTATATGTTTGTTTATTGCTTACAAAGCACTATACGAATAAGTTCCTTTAAATTTAATATTAATTTCATCTTTAATTATTTATTTATTTATTTATAATGGGGTTCTTCTTTCTTGATGTGGGGTTTTTTTTTGGGGGGGACCAGGAAATCTAATATTATGTTGGGGTATGTGACATTTTACTTTGTTTTTATATTTTTCGGGTGCTCGTATGTTTTTGGAAACAAAAATACGACATCTTAGGAGGATGTTTGGTCTTTTGAGATTTCATTGGAAAGTGAAGTAGAAGCTTAGGACCAGTGTTTTAGGGAATTGACATGGCTGTACGTACCTCGCTGGATTTTGGTCTAGGGTAAAAGTGATGACATATGATATACATTGCTTATCCATCCAATTTTTAGTAATTTTATGGTGTACTATGATATTCTATTGAAGTTAAAATATTCGTATATATCTTTTATTATATCACGTACAAATAAAATATATCAATCATGTAACGTTGTTGGCATATAATATAACACATGGAATAAATACAACATGTGGCGCTACTACCATACTTGAGAATTGCTAAGAAAACTCGCTCAGAGTGAGACTCTTCATGTACTCTCCGTCACATTACAATTTAGAGAGTTCATAGAGAGTTTCATTTTTAAGAGAGTTTTCTTACTACGGTCTAGTGGTATTCTTCTTTACTTGTAAGTGAGAGGTCTTATGTTCAATTCTCGCCAAAGCAAATTTAAACCACATTATTGCTAGTCCATTATAAGGCTAAACCCATCCCCTCCTCTTTAATGTATAAATAATATCGTTTGTTAAAAAAAATATATATATTTGAGAGTGTTCGGATTTTCTTTTCTTTTCTTATTATCCTTCAATTAGTGCTGCGATTGTTTGACTCGCTTTTATTTTATTCTACTTTATTCTTCATTTATTTTCAAATAATTCTCATGTAATCTCTAGTTGTGTTTAAAAAATTTAATTTCTTTTAGTACAGAGGCAAAATTTTATTGTTTGATGTTATTGTCGCCCCCCTTTAATATCTTATTTTCAACATATTTTGTTGAGGAATCACAGTATGAACTTTAAGTTTGGCATAAAAAATTCAACAAGCTTAATTAAACTAAACTTTATGGGTTACCAATTTGAATTGTGCTAGTACAAATTTTGATTTTAAATTCAAAATTATTTTTCTTGAGACACTTTCAGTTTGACAGTGAATACCATGAGATTGGAATGTATTTTTTTCCTGGTCAAGTCAATAGTAATTAATAATTGAACTGTTCACTTACTGAATCGCATCCCATGGATGTTGTACCCATACTCGCCGTTATAGCAACGCCTGCATTGCCAACTGAACGAGTTGTTATATAGTAGGAGGAAGAACATATATAGCTCTCTTTCTTTCGATCAAGTTTCGGGAGAGACTCTTTAACTAATTATGAAGAGTGATTTCTGCACATTATTTTTCACGCTATGCAAACTCATGCAACACTCATCATATCTCATAATTATAAGAAAAAAAATAAAAGGACAACAACAAAAACGCAGCTCCACCAGATGTATGTATAGGAAGTTCCTATTCTTGCCAACCAAACAAAAGGACTTCCAAGAATCCAGATATTGCCAAGTAAAATAAGGGCAGGTATTGGATTTAGGTTATGGTGTGTAGGTTGAGGGGTTTGCTTGATTATTAATGGTTAAACATGAACTTTTCCTTATAAAGTAGATGAAAAAGAATCACAAAAAATAAGTAGAAAATATATGATAGAGAAATACCTGCAGCTGGAAAAAAAAATTAGGGTTTTGGATTGAGGTGAAAGTAAACGCACTTGATGGCTAGCTAGATTGGTCAAGCAGCATCCCTTCCATCCCCATCATGCTAATACCAATAAAAGTCGATCTCTATAGAAGAATGTTTCATTTTCCCCTTAATGAGCTTAATTAGATGGATGCAACTGGATGGCCCATGACCCCCTCAACCATGAAAATGATACAAAGGAATGACTTTTAATTCAAATTCAAAGGATATGGTACAAGGCTTTTGGGTTGTCTTGGCATTAGGGTTTTGAGAGTTGGAGACGTTATCTGAGGAAAGTTGAGGTTCTACTATAAAGTCAACTAACAAAATAGGTAGTAACCTAACTCCTTTTAAAGTTTATTCTTTTTCTAAAGTTTCATACTCTCAACACTATCATCCTGGAGCCTTTACTCTAGAATTTTGGACCTCCATGCCTCATGTTTTAAATTTAGGTTTTTATTAAATGGAAAAGGAAGGATCCTTTTTCCTAGCTATCCGGGAGATCCCGTGATGATGATCGTTCATCATACATTGATGCGGTCAATTTTTCGTTAGGTACTATTTATATTTAATTTTAAAATTTAAATTTCAAATGATTTTTGACCGCGCGATATACAATGTATTAAATGGCGGCGAGGATCATTTTCCTTATTAAATGTCAACCCTAATCCACCATTCCCGCCATTTAATAATACGGTATAGTTGTATTCCTCTTCACTTGTAAGTGAGAGGTCTTAGGTTCGATTCTCGCTAAAGACGAATTTAAACCACATT